ACTCAAACCTCCATAGTGTGTGTTTTTGTATGCTGAAATGGGATTGTTTCAAACAATCAGACTGTGGGGAAGCTGAACCATTTGGCTCATCTCCTATCTGCCTCAGCATTTTTCTGAGCTTTCTGCTCAAATTCTTACTGTGAGCCAAATGGTTGCTGTGTCAGGTCCAAGCACAAACATTTTCTCTTCAGGACACTTCAGCTGCCGATCCAGCACAGAGGAGTTGTTCCATTGTGTTCCCTTGTGGGCACGCTGCTGCCAGAGGAGAGCTGAGAGGAGCTGGTCCACGTTAATGGTCCACTGTGCACGTGTACCCAGCACAAATGAAAACAGCAACCAGCTCATGCTCCTTCCGCAGCATGGCCCTTCCTATAGCAGCCTCATGTGGTGGGCAGTTCTGGCAATGCTGAGCAAAAGGAGAGGCCTGCAGCACTTATCAATCATAAATTTATAAATGAAGAATAAAAAGACAAGGAAAGAAAAAAAATAGGTACAATAGAACGAGAAAGCATGTGTTATTTTAAGTATTCCTTGATAGTTTCTATTTTCCTAATTATTTTATCTTTGACTCACAGAATGGTTTGGGACACAACAAGATCAAAAGGGACCTTTAAAGTTCATATATTCCAACCTCACCTGCTGTGATCAGAGGCATCTTGAACTAGATCAGATTGTTTAGAGTCCATTCCATCCTAACCTTGAATGTTTCTTGGGACAGGGCATTTGTGTTTGAACTCTCTCAGCTCCCGATTGAAGCTTAAGCTGCCTTATTAAAAACTGTTATTAATAAAAAAAAAAAATATATATTTAAACCTGCTGTATATAAGCTTCTCACATTTGATACACTTGAAAGGCCCTATTGTATACATTTCACTGGCACTGAAAAAGCAAAATATTCTTTAATTCTACCAAACAGGACTGTTTGTGGATCAAACCTGCAGACAAACACTAGGAGCTGCAATCAATTAATTTGACTGGTGTTTCCTTTGCATCATTTAGTTTCTTGGTAGTCAGAAGTTTCCTCTAACATCTCCCAAGGTTTATTCATTTTTGTGTCAGATATTTGTGCTGCAACAACTCTGATTGATGTAGATTCCAGAAAGAACTTTTGATAAGTAATCAGTCTTCCCTACGGTGATGTCCAACCCCTATGGTATAAGGGATTCATATTTGTATTAGGAATTTATATTAATTTTCAAAATGCAGTCCAGAATTTGTCACTAGTCACAAAAAAAACAAAATTAAAGGTGCTACAAAGACACCTTGAGTTCCAAGAAAAGGTAAGAACATTTGTGCTTATATTGGCATTTTGCCTGAAAAGTGAAAGAGTGAATTTATCAAAAGCTATGCCCTGGCCAAGCACAGAGATGTAATTGAGAAGGAGTGTTTAGAGAATAAAATCTGCCACTTTCCTTCTGGTGTCTGTAAAGGTAGAGCAAGGTGCTAACCATAAATAGCCTGTTAACATCTAACAACCTTCTTACAGAATCCCATGTGAGTTTGTGAAGGATCTGACCTGACGTTTTCCCTGACAATTACCATTCAGCTATAAAAATAATTTTAGATGGCAGACTTCTGACTGCCACAGGCTCTCAAAGGAGCATGAACTGGATCCAGGTTTCCATGCCAGTTCTGAATTATCTCACCACTGGTGTCTAGCTGTAAACTTCTAGTTGAACTGGCTGCTTGCCTGCTTGCAGTCCCAATGAGGAGTTTGTGTTCATAAATTCAGAATGCTAGCTCTCACAGCTTGCTGGAATTACCACACTCACCCTATTTTCAGTCAGAAAATTCATACTCACGCTGAGTACTTCTGAAAATAAAATTCAATATTTCTGAATTTCTATGCACTTTCTTGGACAATTAAGTACGTCTCCTGATGATGCGTCCAATTGTGAAGATCTGGCAAGTTTCTAAAGTCTACCTCCAAATTGCCAAGATTACCAGAAAGGGCAGGGATGGGGAATGTCTGAATTTTATAATGAATAGGTATGGAATTTGTGAAGATGCTGTTTCATACATTTGAAGTAAGAGGACTATGAAACCAGACCTTTAAGTGGTCTATGTTGACCTCTACTTAAAAGGAATAGGGATAGATAGACTTCTTGAGGTCATCAATCACCTTGGCCTAAAGCAGATGTCTAAAATAACTCTGCTAATTTGCATCCTTAAATTTTTTATTTCTTTTTACTGACTTTAAACAGATGTGGATAGAGTCTTCTACACTGCATGTGCAACAACTCCCACCAGTGCAGCTACAAGTCTTTCCTAGGATTTTGCGGAGTGGTCACCTGATTTTTCTGACAACAGGTATTAGCCAGGCTCTGAAAGCTGAGTACTGGAGATTGCTACAAGGACATCATAACTCAGCACATTTACAAAACGTAGCCAATGAGAATTTTAGACTTTGATGTACCCTAGTATAATTTATATACATTTAATCATATCTTCAGTTGCATGTTTTGTGGTCATTAGCTTTATTTAATTAGATTCATTGTGAAAAAAACCAAACTGATGCCTTCTGAAGACTGTTTTTGGGGCAGATCTTTATACTTTATTGAGTGCCAGAAACCATTCTGCTAATAAACATCTTGTATGGCTTGGTTTTGTAAAATATTCAAGTACCTAAATAGAAATAATCCTGTGCCTTTGTTTCATCTAGCATTCTATTCTGACAGTTTCATTCAAATATTACATGTTAAATATTTTCTGGTTAATCATCCATATTCAAGGCAGAGACACCAATATTTTCTTTTTTTTTTTCAAGGTGTGTTTACTTGAAAGAAGACAGACAACCTTGGCTAGGTATTTCATATAGTCAGTCAATCCTTAAAACAAAAGAATGGTATAAAACTTCCCAGGTATCTTTTTTTAAATTGCAAAATAAATGTCATTCCACAATATTGATTTGTCTCTGAAAAATACATGCAAGGTTATACTATTATTCTCTCTCCCCTTAAATCTATAAAGCAGCTACAGAAGAAACTTATTTTGAAAACTTAAATGGATGCAAAGTGAATTTTGATTCACTGATTTACAGTATACCAACATTATTTTTGAAGTCAAAAAGGTAGTTTTGACCAGCAGTTTATTTTATTATATTGAGTATTTTAATAGATAAAAGGTTACTTTATCCATCTGACACTGCAATATCTATTTACACAGAAGAGATAATAGAAGTAGAAAAGACAATGGTACTTCTTAGATATTAACTTTAGGGGAGGAAAAGGTGAAAAAACAATAATTTTTTGGCAGTGTCTGCCACAGCATTACTTATAAGAATAGTCACCTCTGTCTCACTTTTTTCTTTGGCTTTCAGTTGTCTTCCTGCAACAGCTGTAAGTGATGGTAGTACCAAGACCACTACTTTACTTTTTTTTCTGTTTGGTACTTGCTATGCAATCTGTAGGGGTTTATTGCTATGTGGGATGGGGTGTCAGATCACCTCACAGGCTGAATATAAAAATGCAGATAGACTTAAACAACTCTTGTATATAATCCTGTATGCATGCTGTGAAGTTCTTTGTGCATCTCTTAGACTGAGGTCTCAAAAAAAACCATTTTCTGCTTAGCAGCCTGAGGAATGATTACTATAAAAGAGCTTTCCTTCTATTTCACTCAGGCTTTTTTCTTACAGGGTACACATTTGTTCTTATCCCTCTTTTGGCTTGCTGAAGTCCCAGGCTATCCAAGAACTGACCACTTCTCCTTAACCCTGTCAGTAAAGTTAGTAAGCTTTGCTAAATCTTTCAGAAAAACACGTATCATCCTGACAGAGAACTTTTCTCTCAAAGGAGTCTCTATCAGCTTTAGTCTGAGGTGCACTTGTAGAAAATGGTATATAAAAATTCCTGTGAAGATAAGTCAGTGGCACAAAATTTATTCTTCAAAAACTTCAGCCTTGAAATATAATTATGCAAATATTATTTTTTGAACCTAATATTTTTATATGCATTCCCATGTCTGTAAATAAAGTTTATATGTGCTATATTTCTCAGTCTTTTTCACTGCTGTCTGATACATTGTTTGAATTACTGTCTCTGCAGTGAGGAGGAATATTTCCTTATGATTTTGATAGAGACAGAAGAGAAAAGGAGGATGCCGAAGTCTCACAGTTAATATTATTGGGGGTTCAATCACTAATATGGGGAAAAGGAAAAAAAGAATATGCCTTATTTCATTCTCTAATAAAAACTTCTGAACTATGTCAAGTTCTGTGCTTCTTTTCCTTCTGACCTCAAAATATTGGTCAATTCATGTGTTCTGATTTCCTCCCATCATCACAGTTTGGATGGCAACACTGAATACTCTGGACTATCTTTTTATTCTTCCAGAAAGGCAGACATAGTCATCTTTAGTATTCTTGTATATATACCTAAGTAGTCTGTATATACATATGTCCTGGTGCAAGAGTTTAACACTAGGATTTATCTTTTCTGAAGTTATCATCTGAAGTGTCCTAGTTTTGCCTGGGGTAGAGTTAATTTTCTTCATAGAAACTGCTAAGGGGCTGTATTTTGGATTTATGCTGCTAACAGAGTTGACACTACAGGAATGTTTTAGCTATTGCTGAGCAGGGCTTAAACACAGACAAGACCTTTTTCTGCCTCCCACACCACTTCACCAGTGAGAAGGTGAGGGGTGCACATGGAGCTGGGAGGGGACATAGCTGGGACAGCTGACCCAAACCAACCAACGGGATATTCTATAGCATATGGCATCATGCTCAGCATATAACCTTAGGGGAAGGAGAAAGAAGGAAGGTGGCAGGGGAGGGAATTCAGAGTGATGGTGTTTGCCTTCCCAAGTCACCATTACGTGTGATGCAGCCCTGTTTTCCTGGAGAGGGCTGAACACTTGTCTGCCCTAGGGAAGTGGTGAATGAATTCCTTATTTTGCTTTGCTTATGCACATAACTTTTGCTTTACCTGTTAAACTATCTTTATCTTAACCTAAGAGTTTCCTCATTTTTCTTTCTCTGATTCTTTTCCCTATCCCAGGAAGAGTGAGTGAGCAGCCGGGAGAGAATGAGCAAGCAACTACCTGGTGCTTAGTTCGTGGCTGGGTTAAGCCATGGCATGAAGATAAGTGTTTAGTCCGCCCAATGGCCTGAAAATTTGGAAGAGATGAAGGACATAGAATGAAGAATTTATGAATGCTTCCAGCACCCTTCCTAATTTCATTTTGCTTACACAAGACTAGTGTATAATTGTTTTCAGAGTGACATATGGTCATGGTCCTGGTCAGGTTATGATATGTGTGACAGTTATATAAATAAGGATCTGATATTACATGGCTTTATTTTATGTATAGACACAGACATAACTTTAAGGAGTGTTTAAGTAGAAAGTGGAAACATATGGCAATGCCCTTTTAGTATCTTCCCATCCAATAAAACCATCTGGATATTTAAGAACAGCTTTTAAAACAATTGCAATTTTTTAAAATTAATGTAATAACAGGGGAAATCTCATGATTTTGAGAGGTGAAGGAGAAAGGAAGAAATAGATTGCCTGTTTTCAATGCAACCTAAAGAAATCCTGACTGATGTTCCTGCATAGCTGCTGAGTTACCAGGAGGTAACTACCCCATTGCCTTCATGCCATTTGAATAGAAAGAAAGAAAGAGAAGAAAGCAAATGGCTAATGAGCTAGATAAAGATAACAATCCATCTTTGTTGGATTACTTCTTTATTATTATTATTTTAAATTTAGATAAATAGGTTTAAATTTTAAAATGAGCATAAGCGATATCCCACATCAAAGCCCCCTCTCATTTTCTGAGAATGAAAGGGATTGCTGTGGAAATGTGTAAAGTACCATCTCCAAAATATGAGGTGCAGAAGAAATAAACGCAATCTTCCAATACAATAAGTGTAAAAAAAAATTAATTCAAATTTAAAGAAATTTTAAAGCAATATATTTCTAGGAGTAATTTCATTTATAAAACTGTGGTCTTAATATAATGCCTTGTCTATGGTCAACACTTGGACTGAGGCAGTCCTAAGGAAAGATACAGGAAGGGGGTTTTGCAGAAATTGTGTTGAAAACAGGGTTGATAACTGAAATTCCAATTTCATATTGGAATTCACCCATCTACCACTTAAAGAAAGCTGTGGTTTTCAGATTTTGGGATTTGTTTTTCTTGTGTTCTGTTTTGCTATTTTTTTCACCTAAAATTCTAATTATATTTCTAGTACACTAATAATAAAAAAAAAACCCAACAATTCATCTGCCTACTCTCTTGGTATATTGGGAAAAAAAAATCCCCAACATCTGTAACATTTCCTAATGGAATTGAAGGATGTGTATCTGTATAACTACTAACACTAAGAGTCTCGGACAGGTGGCCAAGCTCTGGGGATGTGAATAACAACATTCAGGGATGCAGCATTTTTTTAATGACTGCAAAGTGAATTATACAGAGAACGATAAAGGCTCAAATCCTAATATAAACCATTGCCTTGGATACAAGCAAACATGGCAAAATTATATTTACAAACAGCTTATACTTCTTCCTTTGCATCCAAAATAGACTCCTTCTAAAGTTAGTTTGAGAAATTATCCTGACCAGTGCCAGTTCCCTCCCTATCATGTCTGGAAAATGCTTGGAAGAAGACTGAACTTCCCTGTGAAATTCCATGCCAGAAACAGATAAAATATTCCTGTTCCATAAATAAGCAGTATAAACCAGAGTATTCTAGTATCCAGGAGTAACTCCATTTTTAGTAGTATAGACACAATGAAAGATGTTGAAATTAATAAAGAATGTTAACATAGGCGCCCAGAAAAATGTCTGCTTGCTGCTGCGTTGAACTAGATAGTCACAGCATCTCTTAACAGCAGCTGAATAAAGACAGCCTATATTTCCAAAACTTTAAAAGTCCAATTTAAACAAAATTATTCCCAAGGCTTAGAACTTAATTCAGTGTCCGTGAAAATTGTTGAGGCTTGGTAGGAGTGAGTAGGAAAATAATTTTTTGGTTTATTTTTAAGATGCATTTTTTCCCAGAAAAGTTTCCAAGACAATCAGAAATTATCCTTTATATTGTTTTGTCTTGATTCAGTTGCCAGGAATAAAGTGACAACCTGAATCAACCTGATCATTTTCTGCTTAATACCCAGAAAAATAGTTATATTCTCCCCATCCACATTTCAGAATTAGTCTGCTAAAAAGCAACTCTGCTAAAAGCAGTGCTTCAAAGGCAATGGTTTGATGGTTAAGGCTTTACCATATCACTTGGTAGATATTTAGTAAGAACAGCAAATTTGTACCCAGGAAACTGACCCTTAGCTAGATTGTCTTTGACCTCTTGCGGCACAGTTCCCATCTCCTGTGGTGTCCTGGCAACGAAGTCCTTCTGAAATTTCTTTGTAGATTGTGAGCTGATCATGCAGGAATTGAAATGGTGATGCCAGACATATACTTTGCATGTTCTAATGAGTTTTGCTCTATTCCTTAGGCCAGCTGGCTGTGCAAACCTTAGATAATGTACAGAAACCAAAGCCAAAAAAGCTCAGATTAATAAAACAAGTAGCTGCAAATCAAATCAGACCTATCTTAAGAATTTTTAAGGCTTCAAAAGGCTGTAAACATAATTTTCACCTCGTGAAAATACAAATACCAAAACCAATGCTAGGGAACTCAGATAAATACTGTATAGCTTTCCCTTTTTTTTGGTAGCATTTCATGCAAAGAAAATTAAAATGTGTTCTCACTTGGCCTAGAAGAGCTCTGGATAGGTGTGAAGCAGAGCCGCAGTTTCTTCTCAGTTTCCTCATCCCAAGGCAAGAGTAATAGGTTGCAGTATGATAATGAACAGACTGAATGAAAAGATTGGAATTGATTACACTTGGTAGTAATAGGTGTAGGAAGGACATAAGAAGGAGCAATAGAATTCTTTTTTCCCAAGAGCATTGGAGGCTGAAATGAGCTATATCTTACACTTTCAAATGTAAAACCTTTTTTTCTGCAGTTGAGTATAAAGAAATTTCATTAGCTTAACATGTAGAAATTGCTGTCAAAGGTAATGCTATAAAGCCAGCCAATTTTTGACAACTCTTGGGGACTGACCCGCCAAAAGGCTAAAACCATTCAAGTTTATCTGCCACACCAGAGTAAAGATGTAGTACTGAGGGTTTCATCCTGAGATTATTTTCACGTAACTCTAGCTAGACACAAGTCTAAAAGCAAGAGGACATGTCCCCCTTTTTTTTTACTGTGGCAAACACAGACATATTTTGTCTGATCCTTGAAGGTATCCAAGAAATAAAAAATATCTTAGACATTCTGATGGTATATGAAAACATTCATAGACCATCAGATAATTCTATTCCAAAGAAATAGCATTATCAATAGTAAAACTGACATTTTAAATGCCTTAAAATTATCCACCTCAGGCTGTGGACTTCCTGCCCATACCCATCACTGAAAGTGAACCTTTTTTAGAGCAAGGAAAGCATGTAGATATGAAATTTTATTCTACTTACAGAAAAACATAAAATCATAAAAAATGTGAGCTTCTTATACTCAAGCAATCAGTGTGATTGCCTTGTTGGATTTCATATCATTTTTTGCCCATCCTAACACTGTCATTTGAATGTCATTTGACTTTCCCAGCATAATCAATGATGAGTCTTTGAGTCAGTCTAAATGGACTTGCCTAAAGGTACACAGGAACACACAAAGGTGATAGGTAATTCAGCCCTTATGGAACTCTGATTGCTCAGAAAATGTTAGGGGAAAATGCAGCTGCTCTGAAACAGCTACCTCCAAAAACTACACACAGCAGTCTAGCATCGCATTTATCTTTTCTTTTAGGATGTCTGTTGCATCAGTATCTTTGTCAGAATAAAAAATTCAGTTTGCGGGTTAAATGAATTTTTTTATAAGTACTCAACAATTATATGCAAACATATAATTGTGTGTCATGTAGACTGGCTGCTCCCTGGGGGCCAGGTACTGCCTGCCATGGATGCTTGGTTCAGCAGAGAAGGTGCTCCTGCCAAGGGGGCATGGCAGGCACAAGAAGGCAGCTGGGAGAAGCTCCAAGCCTCTCCAAGAGTATGTGGCATTTTTGTAGTGAGAAGCCAATCGCACCTGTCAGGGGTGCATATCAATGGAGTGCATGGACAGACACATACATGATTACAACATATTTGAGCTGTAGCTCAGGCAAGGGCTGAGGGTGACAGGCTTTACTCAGAAAGAGCTCCCAAAGAAAATAAAGATAAGACCTTGCTGAGGCTCCTAATTTTTATCACAATGCTGAAGTACCTCCTCTGCCCCTTGGCAGGGAAGGAGGGAAGGGTGGATATTTCAGTCATCGGAGTGGGTATTTCCCTGCAGCCTGTGGAGAGTATTTCCTCAAGGAAGTGTGACCCAAAGAAAGGCTATACTGAATCAAATTATTCTGACAGGAACTATGGCCCACACTGGATCAATGTTTGAGCATATTTTTTTCCCAAGTGTTTCAGCTAGTGGTAAGAACCTACACTGGAGCAGATGAAAAATATAAGGAGGAAGGAGCACCAGAGAGGAACTTTTAGGGACTAACCTTAAATCATATTCTCATTTATCCTGCCCCTCTCAGGAGAAGGTAGGTAAAAGAGTCTAGGGTGAAGGAGTAAAGCTGAGCACAGGAAGAATCAGGTAGTTAGAGATGTTCTTCTAATTTAGTCTTCATTATCCAAATCTATTTCAATGGAAAAAACTAAATTAACTTATGCATGTTGAGTGTCTTTTTCCTGTAACACTAATTAGTGAGTGGTCTCTCATTGTATATCTTGACCTAAAACTTTCTCCTTCAATCATTCTATTGAGAGAAGGGAGTGAGAAAGTGACTTGGTGAGCATCTGGCAGCCAGCAAAGGTCATGGTGTCATCTAATCATACATTTATAGAATCAGAATGGTTTGGGTTGCAAGGGACCTTTAAAAATTGTCTAATCTGATGACTCTGTCTTGGGCAGGAGTACACCTTCCAGTAGCTCAGGTTGCTCAAAGCACTATCCAGTGTGACTTTGAATACTTTTAAATGATGGGTCATCCATAATTATTCTAGACAGCCTATTCCACTGTCTTAGCACTCCTGCTGTAAAAAAAAAAAATTCCTTATGTTCAAACGAAACTTGCCCTCTTTTAGTTAAAAACCACTACGCTGTGTTTTCATTACAGACCTTTATAAAAATTTTCTGAATTTCTTAGACATTTCTTCCTTTAAGTACTGAAAGTATGAAAGAAAGTCTGAAGTCCTTCTCTTCCTCAAGACGAACTACCACAACTCTCTCAGCTTTTCTCTGTTAGACAGATGTTACAGACCTCTGGTCATTTTCATGGTTCTCCTCTGGATCTCCTTTAACAGGTCCATGTCATTCTTGTACTGGGGGCCATGGAGCTGGATGCAGTGCTTCCAGTGGTGTCACTCAAGGGCAGAGTATAGGGAGAGCACCTCTCTCATGGCATCTCCTTCTCAGAAGGCTGCAAAGAGCAACCCTTCTATCCATGCTAGACAAATTCAATGTCCTTAGCTGCTCCTCATAGGATATTCCTTCTACTTGGTCTTGTTGAATTTCATGACATTCGCATGAACTTACTTCTCTAGCCTGTCAAGGTTCCTCCACATGGCATCTCTTCCCTCAAACATACTAACTGTACCACTCAGTTTGTTGCTGTCTACAGACCTGAGCACATACTTGGCCCCACTGCCTATGTCACTGATGAAAATATTTAATAGCCTCGGTCTCAGTATGGAACATTGAGAGACACCACTCAATGCTGGAGTTCAATCTAGACATCAAGCAATTAACAGCAGGTCTTCTGAAATGGCCATCCAGGAAATTTTTCATTGATCTGGAATCAGATTTAAACAAATAGAATGCCTGGTCCATTTTGAAATCCATGTTTTTTGACATTTGTTTTGTGCATAAAATGTTCTTGACCTTTTAATCTGTGTTTGAAAATCTAGGCCTAAAGATTTTATAGTGCTTTCTGTGAACAGCTGAAGTCACTACTGAAATTGAAACACCCATAATTTGAAGGAAACCAAAATAAAATTACAGTTCTGTTTCTTATTTCTTCAAGTATAGAAAAGTGACACATTGGAGTTTATTGTAATACTAACA